AGGCTGAAGGAGGAAACCCTCGTAATATGGAAGATGACAATGTTGGTCCAATATAGTCCAAGTAAGGGAGCCAAACTTTCTGGAAAGCATCCACCGAAGAGTGAAGCATATGAGATGTATTCGTTAGGAATGCACTCCATTACAAGGTTATGCCACAACTTCTTCGTTGGAGCAACATCCTATCGTAAGTTACTTTTAATGGTCAGCAGGTAAAGTAAAGTAATACATATTTGTGAAATATGATGCATAACTATAATGACACATCGATATTATCAGATTCTAATGCATTATAGACATGAGCGTCATAGAAAATGTTACAATTGATTTTAATAATGACCAAATATATTACACAGTATATTCATGTCAATATAAATAAATTCAGTCAATTGAAGTTGAAAACATGTTCTAACAAATCTAAGTTGATAAGAACAAAGCCCAATATCAAATGTACATAACAACCTTGAAATATACCTCTTTTTATAAGCAATCTGAAGCTTCTGTTTTAGGGATGAACATAAATGAAACCCTCTGGAGAGCTGTGATGTAGGCAGTTTTTTTCTAACAACATTTTCAAGATCAAGAATAATTTACCTACATTGGATTGACTTTTCCAACTTATAACCGAACTTATGAGGCAAAATACCTCTAGGGGCCCAGTCCTTCGTATATTTTTCTGTGTGTGGCCCTAGGTGAAAAAAGTTTGGACCCCCCTGGCTTAAACTAACAAAGAGGGAAACAGTGCCATCCAGTGGGGAATAACACAAATGAATCTGAACTGAAACAAGTGTCCAAGACAGTTAGTAACCTTTATTTATAATAAATTAAAAAAAATAAATAAAAAATGTATGAACGCTAAATCACCAACATCCCACCTTTTCCCTCTTTTATCACTTTTTTAAATTCATAATTCGAATAATCACGATCATTACTAATGATAAGTGTTTTACGAAACATTGATAGTTTATTTGCATGAACTGCTCAGAGTGCATTGCTTTTAGGTAACGTTACTGGAAATATTAAAAACTTTTATAAAGTAAACTGAATGTAATTTGAACCTTTTGATCTAGAAAACACCACACTTTTCAGGAAATCAGTTGTACAAACACTGTGCAATGGCAGTTATTTTATTTGGAAACCATTATACAGTACAACCATTATATATGTATAATTAACCACTACATGTGAAAACAAGAAAGCTTGTAAAAATTGAGTGTACATGAAGTTCATTGCATAAAAGAAAATACATTTAAAAAAAGATTTATATAAAGTCTTTCTAATCAACTGACTTATGGTTATCTCATTTTAGTTGGGACTTTGATGACCTTATTATAAATCACTTTTCATTCATTCCCAATATAGGTGAAAAATACACATTATTTAAAACATTTTTAAATAAGTAATCTATACTATTTTCACAATAATGAAAAAAAGATGCCACCACAAGACTCAAGAACAATTAAGGTACACGGAGACTTCCGTTTACAATATTGATCTTACATGTTTTTACACAGTAGACATTCAAAGTGATCATTAGAGTCCCCTGCAACAAAGAAGTTTTCCAGCCCTGTGGAGGTAGAGGAGAGGTTGTATAAACCCGGTCATTAAACCCAAAAAGGTGCTTATTGTTAGAGCATTGTAAAAGTCCCCTATATTCAAGCTAAATTGCATTGGAATTACAGCCATGCAAAAAAAGAAATTGATGCCAAAGGAAATCATGATAAACAAAATCATTTTAAAGGCCCTTCTCTTCATTCTATTGCTCTTCTTCTTCTCTGTGATTTTTTCTCCTGGCCCGGGCCGCTTCAGGGCTCTGAGAACTGAGCAGCAGCAAAAAAGAATTATTGAGTAGATAAGAATAAATTGGATGAAAATTGCAAAAAGATATAAAGGATCTGTAAAGTACAACAAGTAGAAGCAGTAAACCAAGGTAATAAGCCAGATAACACAACAACAGCCCACTCGGTACCTCAGGGGTTTAAACCGTAGAAACAACACGGGGTGGACGACCCCTGCATAGAACTCAACACAGATGCAACATAAGAAGAGAGGTTGGGCTGTATAGAAAAGGCCTCGTGAAAACAAAAAGGCTTTTAAAGACCAGAATACATTTAACTTTAGAAAAACAAAAAACCAGATAGATGATAAAGCAAAAAAGATCTGAGACATGGCCACGTTGAGAGAAAAGAAGTCTGAGGCCAAAGTCTTTCTGGTCCCTGCCATTATCAGCCACAGGACATAAACATTCAAAGGTAGACCCACAATGTTGTTAAAGGCAGTTGCACCTATGATTAGTATCCCAAAGTTTGGGCTGGTTGTCGTGTTGTGGGTGCTGGTTGTCGTGTTCATTTTATGTCTGTAAGAAGAAAAAGAAAATACATTTTAAACTGAAATGTAATGTTTGCCTATGGGCTCTTTGTCAACAACTAACCTTTCTCAACAATTGGCACAAAAACAGCATAATGTACATAACTTAAGAAACAAACACCTTAAATATAGAGCTACACAATCCTTGATTCAAACCTGGTATTGAGCAGAGAGCAGTAGTCTGGTCGAGCAGCAGTGAAGAGCAGATCTGCAATGAGGCACAGCTCCAGACGTTGGTTGGTGTTTGAATAATGAAATACAATCCAAAACAACAATCAGTAAACAGGATGAATACATGGAAATGTTATGCATCAACCAACTTATTTATCATAATAGGGCTCAACATGTTTCCAGGCTGATTTTTGAAACCATAATATAGTATGCCATTACAATCATAGACACATTATAGCAAAATATGTCACATACAATAATCATAATATAGTGAGCAGTGAATATCTATAGTTTAATATGCTATAAAAATTCAACATCTCAAAAAAGTAAAATAAAATGTATGTCATGAAAAAAAAAAGATTATTTTGCACTGTATGCCACAAAAACGTGTACCATGTTGTCACACAATGTCGTGAAATAAATAATAATATCAGCTTTGTGTATTTTTTTATAAAGGAGGAAATGCATGGATCACATGAAGCTCAAGCAAACAAACAATGCTTTTTTTTTTTCTGTTTGCGTTTCCAAAAAACAGAAGCCTACCTTTAACATTTGACATTCGGTATGTTTGTATACCATTTTATAATTTAGCACATACAGATATTTGTATTTAATTTGCATTGCTGCCATAGAAATAAATGTAAACTAAAGTTTTAGATCAACTGTCATGATATACACTGTTATTATTGCACTTAATGTGTTTATTATAGCGGTCACCAACATTTATTTAGTAGTTTTACTATTGACTGCCTCCAACACCTGCAAGTTTGCATATTGGGCCATGGACGTGCTTTCATGTCTGTTACGAACATGTAAAGCAGCGTTGTTTCTTCAGATCATTTCTCTTGCAAATCATGTTAGCTTAGAGAGTATGGACTTATTTTCAGCTTTTAAACACTGTGAAAGATTAAGTTCAAATTAGATTTTGGTTGAGAATGTTTTAGTGTCTCGGGCGTATTGCATTTTCTCATCCACCAACTATCGCTCAGTCTAATTTCAGACCTATTTACGTTCTTGAATGTAATATTCCTGAATACACGTCCTCTTGTGCAGAGCTCCATCTGTCTGAAATAATACCTTGCACCCGTCCACTCAGATATTTCTCAGGTGTAAAGCTCTGAGGTACAAGCTGGCATGTTGCTGTGTTTCTCGGCTGATAGTGATTACGTTATCCAGTGTATGGATACCAATTCACATAAAAGGGTTTTCTTGATGATAGCAGCTTTGTATCTGTTTGTCTTGCTGTTGATGACTTTCTGCTGCTTCTCAGTTCTCAGAGTGTTGATACACCCTGAACCAGGGGAGGGGCAGAGGGAACCACACAGCTTTCCTAAACTACTGTCAATATAATCAACACACTCTCACTCCCTTGAATGGGATGTGCAAAATAGTCATTATAGACAGTCTTTAATTAACTATTAGTAGAGAATAATAATAAAATGTTTAAGCTTTGCAACTAGTGGATATGTTACACTGAGGAATATACTAACTTGAACCACTGATTGTTCTATTGAGAAAGAACACTTTCTTTGTACTGTTTTGTTGATGTGAAATGCACCCTAAATTACTACGGCAGATATGTCATATTTAATGCAGCCGAAACGTGTATTACAATGCCGTTATGTGATGACTTTCAAAGAGAAAAGCAAGCACACTCGGAATAATGTATTATTTAATTGTTTTATACAGTCTATGGTTGCTACAGAGGATTGTGGGTAATGTAATGTCTTGGGCCATCCAAAACTCATAGAAAACGACTTGTTTCTCAGAATTGAAGGGAAAAACGTGACAAAAGCATTGTACACACACTGAAACCTATCAATGTCGTTTAATGAACAAGGATAATCTGGTGTTTTTGAGTTGATGAGTAGTGGAGATATCACTGTCAAATCAATCGACAGTAAGGGGAATACTTACTTCCGGGTGTACAATTCTCCGTTATCCAATGGGAATGGACGCTCACATTGCCTTTAACAGCCTCCGACACAAACGAATGCCGTGCTTCCCTAAGCGTCAAATCCCGCCGCCGATGGGAATACATTGCAATCAGTTGAAAGCTCTTTGCGTCCGTTTATGAAGCTGAAGGAGCCTCGGCGCGTCACAACTGGACGCCACGGGACCCTGACCAAGCGTCGCTCCTGGACGCTTAGGGAGTGAGAGTGTGTTGATATAATACCTTTCTTAACAGGGTTTTTCCAACCAATCTTGTATCTTTATAGGGCAGGGAAACTTAAAAGCTATTGCAATCAAGCATGTATTTCACTGTTTGTTAATGTCACAAGATGTCTTGGCACCAAAGAGAGCATGACCAGAAACATATCCAATTTAAATATAAACAATGAGTGGCTAAAAGCAGTGCTAAAGTTAAAACAATCATATACTATAACTTCGTTTACATTTTTTGTAAAATATGAATCAATTGATGGTATTTGAAAAGTATAAAAAAATAATACTGTCTCCTCATGTTGTCTTGCAATGTGTTTTTGAAGTTTGATGTTATCGCTTCCCACTCTTTATTATGAATGTAGATCTCTGTAAGACACTAAAACTTAAAACAAAAGCATAGAGATTATTTTTTTTACTGTTCATACAATCACAAATATAAACACAACACAAGTATATTGTTGTCATGTATCCGAAGATTGTTTTAGCCAATGCATAATGATTAAAGCGTAAGATAGGCCTTTAATACACTTGGTCACTGCATTAAATCGATATATAACATATATAACAGGAAGTTGAATGAATTAAGTTGAAACATTATTATCAAATGTTACAGGAACATGCTGAGTGTGGTCAAAACAACATTACATTTGTTTAAGAGAGGGGTTAAAAACAACAACCATGTCTTTGCATTGTAAAGTTCAGTCAATATGTGATAGTGCTGCAGAGTTAATACCCTTCACGATTGAATTTAACTTCCCTCATTTATTTCTTTACTTTAGTGAGGCTTTGCATTTTTCTTTAGCTGGCAGAGGGTTACAGAAGAGCCCACACCAAAACCAGCATACAAAGGCTCACTGAACTGAGCTTTGAATCTGTGGATCAGTGCCATGGTCTCTGATACCGAGTAAAAGGCCACAGTGTTTCCGGCATAATCCAGGTACACACCAATCCGTGTGGCTCTGGGAGCTTCAGGAAGGTTTCTGTCTACTTTGTTGTGCCAGGCAGAGTAGCCTGAATCGGAGCAGAGGAGACTCCAGGACTTGTCGTTGTAGCCCAGCAGGCTGTGCGAGTTCTTCCCTTTGCGACTGATGCTCTTGTAGGCCACCCCGATGGAAAACTCGCCACTCCACTCTGCCTCCCAGTAAAACCTGAAACCAGTAAAAGGCTCCTTGCACAACACCTGCGAGTAACCATCAAAGCGTTCTGGATGATCTGGGTGAAACTGGACTGTTTTCTTCCGCATGACCTTCTGGTTGCCCTCGGACAGGACCAGCTCTTTATAGACCGTGTTTGGATCAAAGGACATCTTGCAGGTGTCTGAGCAAAGACATACATACACAATGCACATTTATTATTTGTATTGACCAAGACCAGATCAAGTTAAAGACTAACTTTAGAATTAGTCTAAAATGACAAGTCACATCCTGATAAAACATCATTACTAAACGATATGCTTTTATGCATATTGTTGTTTTCAAGGAATTCAACTATTAACACTACTCACATCTTAAGAAGTCCATCCTGGTTTTTGGCTCCTGAAAATCAACTCTGGAAGGAACTATGGATATGAAAACATGGACACCCACATTATTTTGAGATACATTTTGTCTTATTGTTTATTTGTAAAATAAATCTAAGGGGGAATAACATTATCATATAAGTTTGAAAACTGTAAAACACATGCATCGTCCTTGTGCTCTGTACATTAGATAACATCTATGTAATCTCACATGTATTTATAGGTAGAGTTGTGCATCTTTCAATAAAGAGATGTGTACCTTTGAGTCGTTTGTCTCCATTTCTTGGCAAAAGTATGTACACTGGGGTTTCACTAACTGTGAAGAAAATACAGCATTATGTTAGCCTGTTAATAGTCTGCTTTAGAGTTTACATAGCGTAAAGATATTTGTCAAAATGATCTAATAAAAACAAACCTGTTTTGGAGATTTTGCTCAATTCCTTCTTACAGATGTCGTCCAGATGTTCCTTCATCTCCGTGGCCGTCTTGCTCATCTCTCCAAAGGAGAACTGAGGGTTGATGAGCACTTTGGGCACCATGGCCTCAGGAGGAATGCACAGAGTCGGAAAATTCTATTGAACGGGAGATAGGGGCTCCAGTAAACAGTCCAAAAGACGGACTAAAAAGTGACTTTTTAATAGATATAATAAGTCAAATGCATTACACTTTTGCTTGAGGAACCATAACTTTAGCAATATAAGTAAAATACATTGCAATATATTAGTCCTGTTAGCATTATTAGGAAAGAAAACATCAAGATTAAGTGTAGATTTGATTGAATTATGTGCAAACAGGCCAGAAGTGCGAAGACAAGAATACTTTCATTTTTTGCAACCAGAAAGATCTTTTGGCACCTGCAGAAAGTGAATGTTGTCCTCTGTTTCGAGGATCTGCCGGAGCTCTGCGCCTCTGCGCTGTAGCTCCTGTAACTCCTGCTCCAGGCGGTCAACGTAGACTAAATAACACATTACAGTTTTTTTCAATTGCTTACACATCTTTTTGAAAACATGCCTAATTTTCTCAAAACACGTGACAAAATGTACAAAACCACAAAGTGCAAAACACCTCATATATCCTGCAGAATGACTTACTGAACTGAACCTGCTCTTTTTTGAAAAATGATTAAATCTTTAATGAACACGAGGCCGAGGTTCTCATCCCTCCATATGAGATGTTCATAATTTCTAATATAATTAATGAGTAACAGGTAAAAATGAAAGGTCTGGAAGATTGTTATGTTGTCTTTGTCTTGGAGAGTCTAGGAGCAAAGAGCGATCTTAACTGCATGATCGACAAACTTCATGCTTAGGGTTTGTTTGGTCATTGTGGGCTTATGAATGCTAAATGACTACCAGTCAATAAACTGCACGATGCAGAACTGTTTCTTTTTGTTTTCATTTCACAATGTGAAACACTATAACACTAGATCTATCTGTTTTTAGTTTTTTGTGCATTTTCATGTTTCTGCCTGCACATCTTGTTGCTTCTGAAACAGTAAGTGCAGGCTTTGTTTTAACGGAAAAATGACGCGGACTGGACAGCTGGAGAAATTACACAATTCTCACACTCAAATGTCATCACCAGCCACCATATTGTTTATTTTTACACTTGAAATCAATTGTAATGTGTGCTTCCATGAACACACCAACAGATAATCCCTGAAACAACAATTGTCTGTTAACAACTGCCTTTAATACTTGTTTAGAAAATCTTTACTGTGGTGGATTAAAATGTCTAATCTCCGATACAAGTGTAAAAACCTGCACAACAACCATTATGGCCCTTCTGGGTCTGTTAAAAAAGACAGAGATGTTTAAGTCATTGCCAGTTAGAAAATCTTAATGAGCATGGGATCCAACAATTAAACTGAAAAATAACACGTTATCTATAGTGTATATTGTGCTTGCAGTAGCTTTGGCAGAGCAATCTGAAAACATTTGTTTATATATTCAAATAAATTGTATTGCATTGTACGCATTTCCTGCATATACAACTCCATATTTCCATGATTTCTTATTCTATCTTGGTAAATTGTAATCTCAACAACAGCTCATCAACACTTTACCCTCTTTAATTAAATCATGTACACATATGAATTTGCCAGCAAAATACTCATGGACATTATGTGGTTACTGATCCTCAGGTGATACAGGTGTTTTGTGAGCTGGAGTTCCTGCAGTGTACAGAATCAACTGCAATACACTCAGACCACGAGAAGGTTAGTGCTTTCAAATGTGTCCACTTCACATTTCAAGTTAATATCTAAAACAATGTATGAATTCAATTAACATGTTTTGTTAATTGGTTAAAATAGGTTACCGGAGTTGCTGGCTTGATTTTGTGGATCATTTTGTAACACTTCCTATGTGAGTAAGAACAGGTATCACACTGATATTCAAATTACATTGTACAATTTAATGTTTTACTATTTCTAAGGAAATTACATTACACTCTGATCGTAAGTTACTTTTTTTTTTTAATATAATATCTTTATTACATTTTTCAAATACAACACATAACAAAACAGCTCAGACATGACATGACAAGTAAGGTACGTAGATAAGAATAAGAAAATAAATAAAAGACACTGCACAGTGTAGGGATCCCCAACCTCTACCATTCTCAATAACAAAATTATGTTAGATAGTAGTAATTATCAAAAATAAATAGACAAATACAGATGACAGGGGTAACAAGGTTACAGGAAAGCATAAAAACAGTCAAATCCAAAGTACATAGGAGCGCTAGGCTGAAGGAGGAAACCCTCGTAATATGGAAGATGACAATGTTGGTCCAATATAGTCCAAGTAAGGGAGCCAAAACTTTCTGGAAAGCATCCACTGAAGAGTGAAGCATACAAGAGATGTATTCGTTAGGAATGCACTCCATTACAAGGTTATGCCACAACTTCTTCGTTGGAGCAACATCCTATCGTAAGTTACTTTTAATGGTCAGCAGGTAAAGTAAAGTAATACATATTTGTGAAATATGATGCATAACTATAATGACACATCGATATTATCAGATTCTAATGCATTATAGACATGAGCGTCATAGAAAATGTTACAATTGATTTTAATAATGACCATTCTTGACAAATGTAGAACTTGAGTGCAGACTTATTTGGTGAGTACAATTGTGTGTCTCAGGCAAAGAGAGGTTACTGGTTAGCGAATGATTGTAAACAACACATTTTTGGTATTGCCGATAAATAAAGACAACATTTCCTTCTCATACAAAGAAGGATATGTAAAAGTTGGTGACATATCTCACACTTTGACCCTGATAACTATATTTAAAGGACTCTTCTGACATATCCTACTTATTTAAATAGAGTAAATAAAAAACATTTTTTTTCTAGTACATATTTCCAGGAAATATGTCAAACTTCACAGCAAAAGAAAACAACGTAACAGCTTTCTGCGGTCTCTGTGTCAAGTCACCTGTCATTAATACTGCAATTCTGCCTTATATCCTAATCTCTCTGCCTGCTAATGGCCGGGTTCTGTGGCTGATGGTATCATCTCCTGCCTTCTGGACAGACAGGGTGGAAGTGTCTGAGTTCCACTTGGTTTTTACAGAGCTACTTTTAGGATTCCCGGGGCCACCTTTAATGGCCATACTGTAGGACATTTCTCCTACTCTATGGTTGCAGAGAAAGTGCTCGTACTCATCAAATTAATATTCACAGTTAGGGTTCAACTCCAGAGTGCGGTCTGTATTGAACGCTACCTTGCAGTCGTACACCCTGTGCTGTACCTCAGGTATAAACTCATGAGGTACAGGATGAGCCTTTGTTGTGCAATCTGTTCTTGCAAAAATGTTCTTTTGCAGTGAACGTCCGGAATCACTGGGCATGTATGCAAGCTCTTATTTTGCTGCCTTTATGGTCAACTCTTTCTGCTGCTTGTCACTTCTCAGGGCTCTGAAACAGCCGTCTCCAGGGGAAGGAGAGAGGCAGGGATCCAACTTAGTCAAGAAAAGAGCTTTTGATATAGTCTTGATATTCCAGTTGACTACCTTGGTCGGCCTTGTGCCCCTGGTCACTATGTTCTTCAAGGTGAGGGAAATGGAGTGGCACACACGTTGTATCTGGCAGCCCTTGGCATATGCTGTAATGGTTTGGCTCGGGGCTATCTATCCTCTTCTCTACCTGCAAAGAGCTGGGAAACACCTTGTAAAAAAGGATTTATGTGTACATTGTTTTTGATGGTAACTACACTGAATGTGCTGTTACTGTCATTCAGCATATCCTTTGTTTTCTTTTTTCTGTGCTATTCTGTAATGAATAATGTAACACAAGTAAGCTTCCAGATCTGCTTTATTCTTTACTGAGAGGCCTTCCATTAGAAGTTTTGAGAGTTTTTTTGACACGGTATTTAAAATGAAATAGTGGGCAAACAAGAGCCCAACAATGCTGAATAGCACAAAAACTAGCTATGCTAATACTTGTATCTCATGAAAAAGACATAGTAGCCATTTGTTTTGTTAGTAATTATTTGGTATCAGATTAGCTAAAGTATATGCCTTGTACTTAGTTTTGAAATAAAGTGCAGTGGTCTTTTTTTCTCCACATGACATGACTTGTGTTTTAAGTAAATCACATGACTGTTTGTATTTAAATACTTTAAAACTGCGTCAACTTTGCATGTATAATTAAATCTGTGCAAATTACACATTGTCTTGAAATGTATGATACGACAGCAAAGATGATTGACACATACACACTATGGGGAAGGAAACATGAAAAGGATGGATTTTTATTTAGTAGGCTCTGTATCTGTCTGTGACACTAAAGCGTAATTATGTGACAACCAATTATAATATTACTAAAACACCGGATTCACTACATGAAATGTAATACAGGACATTTCTGTTTATCTCAGGATACTGACAATATTGGAACAAAAATTTCATTTTTGTAATGAAAAGATGTTAATAAGAACTCTTGGGTCCAAATGCGGCCCGCGGACCATTTTGAATCGGCCCTCACTCAGCAAATTAAAAAAGTATAATGACTGAAGTATAATAAACTTCTGCTTGTCTTACTTCTTAAATATATATGTTCAAATATATTACACAGTATATTCATGTGTTAATAAGCCCAATTTTCAAATAAATTCAGTCAATTGAAGTTGAAAACATGTTCAAGTTGACAACAAATCTAAGTTGATAAGAACAAAGCCCAATATCAAATGTACATAACAACCTTCAAATATACCCTTCATATTTCCTCTTTTTATAAGAAATCTAAAGCTTCTGTTTTAGGGATGAACATAAATGAAACCCTCTGGAGAGCTGTGATGTAGGCAGTTTTTTTCTAACAACATTTTCAAGATCAAGAATAATTTACCTACATTGGATTGACTTTTCCAACTTATAACCGAACTTATGAGGCAAAATACCTCTAGGGGCCCAGTCCTTCGTATATTTTTCTGTGTGTGGCCCTAGGTGAAAAAAGTTTGGACCCCCCTGGCTTAAACTAACAAAGAGGGAAACAGTGCCATCCAGTGGGGAATAACACAAATGAATCTGAACTGAAACAAGTGTCCAAGACAGTTAGTAACCTTTATTTATAATAAATAAAAAATAAAAAATAAAAAATGTATGAACGCTAAATCACCAACATCCCACCTTTTCCCTCTTTTATCACTTTTTTAAATTCATAATTCGAATAATCACGATCATTACTAATGATAAGTGTTTTACGAAACATTGATAGTTTATTTGCATGAACTGCTCAGAGTGCATTGCTTTTAGGTAACGTTACTGGAAATATTAAAAACTTTTATAAAGTAAACTGAATGTAATTTGAACCTTTTGATCTAGAAAACACCACACTTTTCAGGAAATCAGTTGTACAAACACTGTGCAATGGCAGTTATTTTATTTGGAAACCATTATACAGTACAACCATTATGTATAATTAACCACTACATGTGAAAACAAGAAAGCTTGTAAAAATTGAGTGTACATGAAGTTCATTGCATAAAAGAAAATACATTTAAAAAAAGATTTATATAAAGTCTTTCTAATCAACTGACTTATGGTTATCTCATTTTAGTTGGGACTTTGATGACCTTATTATAAATCACTTTTCATTCATTCCCAATATAGGTGAAAAATACACATTATTTAAAACATTTTTAAATAAGTAATCTATACTATTTTCACAATAATGAAAAAAAGATGCCACCACAAGACTCAAGAACAATTAAGGTACACGGAGACTTCCGTTTACAATATTGATCTTACATGTTTTTACACAGTAGACATTCAAAGTGATCATTAGAGTCCCCTGCAACAAAGAAGTTTTCCAGCCCTGTGGAGGTAGAGGAGAGGTTGTATAAACCCGGTCATTAAACCCAAAAAGGTGCTTATTGTTAGAGCATCGTAAAAGTCCCCTATATTCAAGCTAAATTGCATTGGAATTACAGCCATGTAAAAAAAGAAATTGATGCCAAAGGAAATCATGATAAACAAAATAATTTTAAAGGCCCTTCTCTTCATTCTATTGCTCTTCTTCTTCTCTGTGATTTTTTCTCCTGGCCCGGGCCGCTTCAGGGCTCTGAGAACTGAGCAGCAGCAAAAAAGAATTATTGAGTAGATAAGAATAAATTGGATGAAAATTGCAAAAAGATATAAAGGATCTGTAATGGTGTACAACAAGTAGAAGCAGTAAACCAAGGTAATAAGCCAGATAACACAACAACAGCCCACTCGGTACCTCAGGGGTTTAAACCGTAGAAACAACACGGGGTGGACGACCCCTGCATAGAACTCAACACAGATGCAACATAAGAAGAGAGGTTGGGCTGTATAGAAAAGGCCTCGTGAAAACAAAAAGGCTTTTAAAGACCAGAATACATTTAACTTTAGAAAAACAAATAACCAGATAGATGATAAAGCAAAAAAGATCTGAGACATGGCCACGTTGAGAGAAAAGAAGTCTGAGGCCAAAGTCTTTCTGGTCCCCGCCATTATCAGCCACAGGACATAAACATTCAAAGGTAGACCCACAATGTTGTTAAAGGCAGTTGCACCTATGATTAGTATCCCAAAGTTTGGGCTGGTTGTCGTGTTGTGGGTGCTGGTTGTCGTGTTCATTTTATGTCTGTAAGAAGAAAAAGAAAATACATTTTAAACTGAAATGTAATGTTTGCCTATGGGCTCTTTGTCAACAACTAACCTTTCTCAACAATTGGCACAAAAACAGCATAATGTACATAACTTAAGAAACAAACACCTTAAATATAGAGCTACACAATCCTTGATTCAAACCTGGTATTGAGCAGAGAGCAGTAGTCTGGTCGAGCAGCAGTGAAGAGCAGATCTGCAATGAGGCACAGCTCCAGACGTTGGTTGGTGTTTGAATAATGAAATACAATCCAAAACAACAATCAGTAAACAGGATGAATACATGGAAATGTTATGCATCAACCAACTTATTTATCATAATAGGGCTCAACATGTTTCCAGGCTGATTTTTGAAACCATAATATAGTATGCCATTACAATCATAGACACATTATAGCAAAATATGTCACATACAATAATCATAATATAGTGAGCAGTGAATATCTATAGTTTAATATGCTATAAAAATTCAACATCTCAAAAAAGTGAAATAAAATGTATGTCATGAAAAAAAAAAGATTATTTTGCACTGTATGCCACAAAAACGTGTACCATGTTGTCACACAATGTCGTGAAATAAATAATAATATCAGCTTTGTGTATTATTTATAAAGGAGGAAATGCATGGATCACATGAAGCTCAAGCAAACAAACAATGCTTTTTTTTTTCTGTTTGCGTTTCCAAAAAACAGAAGCCTACCTTTAACATTTGACATTCGGTATGTTTGTATACCATTTTATAATTTAGCACATACAGATATTTGTATTTAATTTGCATTGCTGCCATAGAAATAAATGTAAACTAAAGTTTTAGATCAACTGTCATGATATACACTGTTATTATTGCACTTAATGTGTTTATTATAGCGGTCACCAACATTTATTTAGTAGTTTTACTATTGACTGCCTCCAACACCTGCAAGTTTGCATATTGGGCCATGGACGTGCTTTCATGTCTGTTACGAACATGTAAAGCAGCGTTGTTTCTTCAGATAATTTCTCTTGCAAATCATGTTAGCTTAGAGAGTATGGACTTATTTTCAGCTTTTAAACACTGTGAAAGATTAAGTTCAAATTAGATTTTGGTTGAGAATGTTTTAGTGTCTCGGGCGTATTGCATTTTCTCATCCACCAACTATCGCTCAGTCTAATTTCAGACCTATTTACGTTCTTGAATGTAATATTCCTGAATACACGTCCTCTTGTGCAGAGCTCCATCTGTCTGAAATAATACCTTGCACCCGTCCACTCAGATATTTCTCAGGTGTAAAGCTCTGAGGTACAAGCTGGCATGTTGCTGTGTTTCTCAGCTGATAGTGATTACGTTATCCAGTGTATGGATACCAATTCACATAAAAGGGTTTTCTTGATGATAGCAGCTTTGTATCTGTTTGTCTTGCTGTTGATGACTTTCTGCTGCTTCTCAGTTCTCAGAGTGTTGATACACCCTGAACCAGGGGAGGGGCAGAGGGAACCACACAGCTTTCCTAAACTAC